TGCTTGAGAGTATCTTGTTTCTCTTGGCAGATCATGAGCTATTGGAGCGTAATTACACACTCACGATGAGTCTAAGGATACGCGACCTTCTCATAATGTTGTCATCATATAAAGCCACAGCCCGGAGGTGAAAGTCTCATTTCCCCCTGCCCGAAGGCCAGGAGAGTGGCCCCAAAGTATGATCTGAATGATAGTAAACTCTTCGTTTTAGATTTGATTCGCATCTAACTTTCAAATCTTTAGGTCATACAAGATTTGAGAGTCATGGATGGCAGCATGCCCAAAGGCCTTTTCAAACAAATGAAGATTTGGGCAGGTAGGAGGACATAACTTCAGTAACTTTTTGAACCTCATTGACGATCTCTACAGCATGCTTAATTGCTCCTGAAGCGCTAGTGGTGGTTTTAACTTTTTTTCGTCTTGTCCATCGTTATCGGACTCGAATGCTCTGGTGGGATGATTATGCGACCATGCTCGGGTTACTATTCGCTCTTCCGTTCTTCGGCACGACTTGGTTTGTTCTTATATCTAGTATGTGTCTTTCTAGATAAGATCGGCTGTCTGATTTCCTGATCGATTCGCAACCAGGGCACTGGACTCGCTCCATACAAATTCCAACAGGCTGGGTGACGATGGTTTCTTTTATGTCAGGGCTTTGGTATGCCTTCATATCAACATGAACAACTCTTCTCCAACTTATGGTTATCCAGGGCGACCAGAGTCAGCCTCACTCTCTCCATCGCGAGAGTGATATCTCCAAATGTCATCCTTTTCCGAATATTAATATTCGTGGCTATATGTTTCACGGTCCTTGGAACCGCATCCGTTGCACAACTGGCAATTTTATGCGTCATCCAAACTGAATGGCAAAATCGTCCTCCCTTCATGTGTCCCCCGTCGCCTGGTGGGTCTATCTTCCCATATACCGGTAGGTCTCGAGACTGAGCACGAAAAATGGATACTGAAACTTGTTCACCGTTAGCATCGCTGGTCAGCGACATAACTCTAGTCTTGATACCTATTTTGCTGTTCCGGAATGTCAAGCTACCTCCAGCTGCGAAACGTTTGGTCCTGGTCGGGTTTGCTGCCAGTGCATTTCTTGCTCCTGTTGTCATCATGAACTTGGTGTTTGGCCTCATTCCTTTTGGTCAACAACGCGTTGGGATCGTCTTACGTTCTATGCTCATGCATTTGTCCGTAAGTCATATCTCTCTTTTTCAAACCCAAACTTATCGTCTGCCATTGGATTAGGCGCTCATCTCTTTTCTTGCTTGTAACGCCCTAGTGGTTATGACTTACTTCTATCGTCGAAGAAACAAAGACAACGCTGCCTTTCTCTCTGAACTACATTCGTTATCTACCGCACCGCCGCAGGGCGTACCGCGCTCAAGGGTGTCAGATTTGATGAGCCATTTGTCTCTTGAGGAAACGAAATCGACTCCGGGCTCAACAGCCTCGCCTACAGTACCCACTGGAGCAAGTTCACTCATTCTAACCGATGTTTCCCTACACTCGTCCGACTATAGCTTTGAACCGCCCAAGGATGACTCTTTGCAGGATGTTGCGGAATGTGGCGAATCTATTTTTGAACATGGAGTAACAACACAACTTAGAAACGAATATGTCCCTTGTGGCTCTTCAAATGCCCAATACTTGTTCCAGTAATGGAATTGTACTTCTGTCTCGGAAACATCCAACTTAACTTCAGACGCCTTGCTATGAGGCCTTGGCATGATTGCCTCGGAGACATCTACATCCCGAGCGCCAATTCGTGTCGAGACTTCTGCTTTATCGATGGGTCTAGAATATGTTCAATCAGGCGCCGCCAAGAGTTTTGGTAAAAAGAAAAACATATCCAGTGTATGTTTAAATTGAACTTCCTTTGACAGGGGCACTGACAAACAGCTCGGAAGCTCAAAGTACAACTCCGATGACAGCTCGAGCGCTTAATTGAGGCGGTCGGTCGGTCGGTCAGCGATAAATAGTAACGGCACGCACCTGGCATGAGGCATGAGGCGCCATTCTTGACGTTTATCGTCGATCGGAATTATAAAGGAATGGCAGTCTCCACCCGCAGACCATTTGCATCCTTTCGTTTCCCCCCATCGTGTACTGCCCTTCTTCGGGGTCACCTTCGCTAGCGTTGAGTGGATTGAGCCTCAATCGGTGCTGACGCTTTTTTGTCTCTGGCCAATTTTTAGCTAACTTTGGCTTGCCAGACCTCTTCGTGTGATGTCTAATGATACATGCGCTATCTCTTCCATCAATGATTTACTTTCTCAAGCAAACGCCAATCAGTTAAATATTACTACGACCGTTTCCCAATGCCCTGATATCTGCGCCCTTGCTTGGGGAAATGGCAATCCGGACCTCTCCGGAATTGGTGCGAACATATCCTACATCTTCCAAGCAATTCTCTCCATCTTGTGCGGCCCCCTCCTTTGTCTTGTATACGAGCTCCGCCACCGATGGAGGCTAGGTGAAAGGACGGCAAAGCATCTTTCAGCGCTGCATGACAGCTTCCTCGATATCTCGGCACAGTTTAGTATCCCCGTCGCTATCGCGGCAGTCATTCGCCTTCGTCAAAAAGCGCCCTTCTACGAGTTGGCATTTCTGCGGTCGTTAACCACGATGCAGTTCCTAGGCTTACTCTCAACAGCGGTCACGGTTGGCCTCTTCGAAGACGATTATGAGCGAGGGGTTCAACGCATTACCATCATCGTTCTTTATGGTTTAATCGAATTTGGATTTTACATGGGCCTCATTGGAGGATTAGTTACCAATCCGTCGACATGGGAGAGGATAAACGAGTTGACTGATGCGTGCAAGGCTTACGGCCATATCTTCCCCTGGCTTAAACATATTCCTCCACCGGTCAAAGTCAACCTCCCACATATTTCGGTAAAGGACTACTTCAACCCCGTAAAATTTAGCGCAAAGAAGTGGAAGTTCGCGTTCATCATCATTGGGTTCATCATAGCAGGATTTTTAGCTCTAATACTTGCTTGCGTCATGATTTACTTCCTGGCGATCGCTTTCTGGAAGATTTTGACGGGGGAACGCGATGGAGGATGGAGGTATCTGGTTCTACCAATGAGCGCGGCATTCACCATTGCGATGCTCGTGGAGCTGGTGGAAATGGAGCGTACGAGAAACTTCATGAAAGTCGTTGCAGGCGCCGACTTTCAAGACAATCAGTGGGGATTCGGTCAAGTCATTGCACTTTTCTTATGGATGCCACTCTGCACTCAACTTTTCTACTATTTGACGCGTGAGTCCCCATTTTGCTACCAGGAAGGAATGATACCAAGCCCATCCCATAGGACTTGAGTTACAACCGAAACGGGCCACACGGAGCCCATCGCCAGCCGACAGTCTACCGACAGTGAAATTCGAGAATGAGAAAGCTCAAACCAAGGACATTGAGGTAGGCGATAGTGCAGGTGGCATGGCCAAAGATAGCGTTGGAGTAGCAGTCCCTAGCAGGCTGTTTCAGAAGTAAAATATAAAAGCTTTGTATCTGTGTACGAACCATATGTTACTGTATATTTCATCTCCTTTATCTCACTGGTGAAACGGGTTCACCATCTACAACTGGGGGTCCTCTAGAGTCTCGGACCAGAAAGCCCCTGTCACGGCAAGAACTCGCCAGTTGCGTAATCACGTGGCCAAAGATTTTTCAGCTCCTGATCATTGTTCAACGTTGTAAGCTTTGTACTCCCCATGCCGTCTACACAGGTGGCATCTAATTCGCAGACGGCGAACACTCAACGAAAGCGTGTAAGGAACAGGAAGCGCAAAAGGAGGGCGGCCTCTTCTTCTAGTTCTTCCTCCTCATCTTCCTCATCTTCGGAAAGCGATGATGAACAGGAAAACGAGGCTCAATCTCGGACAACGGTCATGAAGAAATCTTCCCTACTACCAGCATCTTCTGTGAAAGAGAATAGAATTAAACCCGAGAGTTCTTCTGAAGAAAGCGTTAGCGACTCTTCTTCTGACTCGGATTCGGATTCAGACTCGGGTCCTTCCATTGTCCAAGCTGAGAAGGAAGAGGTCAGTCCTACAAAGCACTATGCCGGTAATCAGGAAGAGCCAAAGCTAGGATATTCTCCATCGTCTTCACCTCCAGCGGAAAGAGTTAAGTTGCCAACCTTCTTCGACCCACCTCACGGAGAAAAAACACAAGAAGTGCGGGAGGAGTACGAGAAAAACCTCAAGTTAAAGTTCCGGCAGTTCTGGATGTCGGCTGTGGCTGACGGATTTAGAGACGATTTGGAGGAAATCAGGAAGGTAACGCTATCCTCTATTTTTTTTGAAGCTCTAGAACTAAACAATGTTTTTGTGATTCTGAATAGGAACCCAACCTCACGAACTCGCGACTGGCTCTGCTAATCGATTCATTGGCATCTGGCGCGGATGTGTATTCCTCTACTTCGAATAATCGATTTGGAAGTAATAGTGGTATGAATGAGATGGAAGTAGTTCTCGAGTAAAACCTCCACTCACTGATCATTGAAAGTTGTCACAAAGACTATTCTGAGATCCTGTGAACACTAGCCAAAGACTTGAAAACACCACTCTTGCTTTCGTAATGCTGGTTGAACTTGAGCAACTCCGAGACGGACGCTATTCTTGAGACTTAGAGATTTAATAACCTTGAACTTCGAAGTTAAATTACTTCTTTGATTATACGCAATTCTACATGAGCTTCCCAGTCATACTTCTGATGGTTTTATTGAAAGGCACAAGACTCATAATGCATACCGTGAGATATTGATGTTCAACTCGATCCGTTTCTTTATTTTGTGACCTTTACAGTATGGTTTGTATTTAAAGTAGTCACTCTGTGTTTGTATAAACGACTCTTTCTCTAATCACAACCATCATCGTCCTCGAACTCTAAGACATACAGTCATCTCAGGTATGCATACGCAAAAATCTAGTTTTTAGACACAAAATTTTAAATCTACTTAGTAATTACACTACCATTCACTGTAACACCGACCTTAGCTCAGTTGGAAGAGCGCAAGACTGTAATTGGATAAAATGTACATCTTGATGTCGCCTGTTCGAGCCAGGCAGGTCGGATTCTTTTTTATTTATTTATTTTATTTTTATTTTGCAAAATATTCATAGGAAAGAAAGAACTAGATTACAGCGCTGTGCGAGCGAGGAGAGCGAACAAAGGATGGTTGATCGAGACTTCGATCGGTGTTGCCATTTTGGAAGTAGCACGGCACACTTCAAACGTTCGATCAAATAACTCTAAGTACAGTTATTGTGCAAGTTAATCCAAGGAGAAACAATATTCTTGTTGCATTCAAAATTGTGTAAAATTGTGTATAATACATTGCAGTTCATTTTAATCCGAGGCAGTAGACTCATGGTCTGACATTCCGTCATCGAGAGTAACGTAGGGACCCAGCATACTTTGTTTGAGCTCTTTCTGTTGTTGTTTTTCTTTCCGAGCATCCTCATCAACAAGTCCCTCGGCGTCTTTGACTGTGATGTACTTGGGTTGTGCGGCTTTCTTCTTGGCCTGTTCCAAAGCAGATGAGACGGAATCTTGGACATCTGCGACATGGATAAGTTGCCTCTTCTGATCGGGGTGATTTGCCATTATGTCGCGAACGACAACCAAAAGGCTTCGAAGGGTGGTTTCGGCACCTAGAGAATCGAAGAATTTCTCAGTTTTTTCTTCCTCATCCTCCTCTCCATCGTCGACTTCATCCTCATCTTCATCATCAGTTTCTTCTCCTGCTACCTTCTTCTTTTTGCGACTTTGCTTCCGCTCTGCTCGCTCCTTATCAGACACTTCCATCACTTTCTTCATTCGCGCATCCAATTGGTCAATGAACTTGTTGAACTCCCAAACAACTTTCGTCCTCCGTTTCTTCCTCTCCTCCGGCAGAACCACTGTGTCCATTATACCTCTCACATATCGAACCTCTCGCAACAGACGATCAGCCTCTTGCCTTTCCCATTGCCTCCAGGCAGTCAACCAGCGACGATTGTCCAGTGACCATGGGCCCCGAAGCGAGATATGGTTGCCTGAATCCAACCCGTTCATGTATCCTCTTCCAAGGGATGAAACGGCTGAGTTTATACGCTCCGAGATTTCTGGCGCAGTGACGATGTCAATGATTGTATGTCCAACACTATCCTCCATGAAGAACACTGAAGGATCTGTGACGAAGCTGCACAAGACCTCAAACAGTTCTAGGTATTGATTCCGTACGGCAAGATGAAGAACGGTTGATCCATGGATCTCGCGCAAGAGAAGCGAAGATTTATTGAAGTTGAGAATCATTTTGACGATCTTTAAGTGATTACCATCGACGGCGGCATGCAAGGGCTGAATGGGATGTCAATTTCAGAAGAGGGAGCGATGTGAGTACGACACTCACAGTGTGCTGTGAAGCATTTCCTTGTTCAAGAAGCAGCTGTTCGCTAACGTCCTTGGGCAGCTTGCCCAAAAAGTGTTCAAATAAGCGGAAATTGTCGCTTCTGGCCAAGCAATGATAGATGTTGAATCTTTATATGTAGAGCTCAGTTTGCGGTGGGCAATTCGAACACAGTAACCTTACCCGTCATGAGTGTGATGGGTGGGCGAGTTTGATTTATTAAGAAGGAAATCGATGACGCGCCGACTTGAGTTTCTTCGAACGGCAAGCAATAACATGTTCCAGTTTACGATCGCAATTCTATTTTGATGCCTGGTGAAGAAGAAAGATCGAAGATATATGGAAAAGGCTTACCTAGTGTTAAAAGTGGGCGTCATGACTTCCGGTCGCAAATCCATCAATAACTCGATAGTCTTCAGACAATTCTGCTTGCCAACTATGGTAGCTGAGAGAGGCGACTCTCCGATCCGAGTTGTAGTCCATCCAAGCCACACAGGGATATGTTTTTCGATCCCGGATCCTGACACTCCACCAACTCTCTTCAGCCAGACCGCTCTTTCATCAATATTGGTAGACGCGTATTGCTGGAACGCCTTCGCAGGTTTGTCAGAAGCCAGATATCGCAGAATTTGATGAGAGGCAGTTTGCGAAGCACGCCATACGAGTGGGATGTGGGCTTGTGGCTCGGTTTTGTTGGCATCTGGGTCGTTCTGCTTGGCGAGATCGGCGCGTTTCATGCCGTGGACGTTAAGGCCGAGGTAGAGCCTGTTCTTGTCATTGATAGCGGTAGGGGCGGGCGGTGTCTCACTGTGTTTTTGGGCGTGCTCAAAATCGATGCCGTGCCCTGTACGTTTGATGTAGAGGTCTAATATCTCTGGTCGATCCTGTTCGACGATCAAGGCCAACAGGTCGGCAGAATGGGAGGGTTCCAAAGGATGGGAAATGGCTTGGTAGAGGTTGGCGATGCGAGTGAAGGTGTCCGTGTTTCCATCGACGACCGCTTTCGACAGCAGAGTATGAGGGGAGCTCCATTCTCGAACTGGTTTGACTTCGTAATAAAATTTATGTTCAAGAATTTCGGAAGGCTTTATCGGAGAATGAACAGTGGTTGACTGTGTTGCGATGTCAATGAACTTTGGTTTTCCATCTTCGGTCATGTCCGAATCGCTATCGTCATCAGCATCTTCGTTCTCTTCGTCGCTATCACTATCGTCTAATTGACTATAAGCCCAGAGAAAGTCATATAAAGAGGTTTGACGTACTGAATTTGATCTTAGAGGCTTTGAAAGATCGCTCTTTGGGATCCTCTGGTCGGTATTGAGCAGTGACAATAGAAAGGAGGAGCCGACAAGTTGTCCATTTCCCACCCAAAGCAGCGGCAGCCAAAGGGGTAAAACCTGTGACGAGACACTATCAGCTAACCTCAGCAAGATTTGCGCAAGTTATCAATCACCTTGTTGATCATAGGAATTACTAGATTGATCAATACGAACGGCAACCTTGAGTGGTCGTTTCGAGAGATCTACATCCGAGGGCATGCAGAGTTGTTTGACTTTGTCATCATCACCAGCATAGCACGCGTCGAACAGTTCCTCATAGGATTCTAGGAGGTGGTTAGGTACGCTCTGTCGCCCATACCCAGTTGTGAGGTAAGAGCATGTCCATTCTTTCTTGGCACCGACGTTCGACACGGAGTAGTTATACGCCTCTTGAGCGTCCGCGGTTGCGGTAGATTCAATGTCTGGATAAACGACTTTCCATTTCTGTGCCTTGTGTGCCTGTAAGATTCGAAGAACTTCCTCAAAATATTGTTGACCCTCTTCGAGTTCTTTGAGTTTCCTCTCTTTGAGTTTTTTCTTATAGTCATCTTCCAGAGCATTTGGTTGTTTGAGCTGAGATTTCTTCGAAGTTCGCAGATAGGATTTCCACGGGGAAGGAGTGGCATCAGGCTGAGTGTCCATAGAATGAGACTCTGATTTGAGTTTGAGGATCTGCCTTTTGATGTTATTGATAGCCAGCTGGACCCATTCGACGATCGTCCTGCGTTGGTCGGAGTTGGAGTATCTTTGGAGGGAACTTTTAGTTCCAAAATTGATAGAGGCGCCGCAAGCGACTAGCAGAGGGAAAGCTTCTGGAGATGCAGCAAGCGCAATTTCGATAGGCTGGTATACGCGTTGCAAGTACCCTTCACCATCAGAATTTTGATAACGTTTGTTTGAGGGCCTATATGATTGATGAGATTCTATCTCGAACAACGTTGTTGAGCTTACATGACTTCCTGGGCCTCTGCAATATCCTTTTCCTCGATCGCTAATTTGGCGTCATGCGAAATCAAAACAGCTAACGAGGCGTAGTTTCGTTTTTCGATAGCGTTCACGACAGGTAGCACATAGTCTGACCAAGTTTGAGTTGGGAAGTTCAACATGGTAACCGCCTTCTCTTCGCATTTCAGAACTGTTGCCAAAAGCTTCGCCTTATTTTGCACAACGAAATAATGCATGATGGACATCATGGTATCGTTGACAGTGGTACAGGTTGCACCAGCGTTGATTAACGCTTCGGCAACACGGCAAGCATCGTCTTCGTCTTCTCGAAGTGCGGTCATTGCAAGCGGGTGTAGCGAGGTATCGTTTTGAACTAAATTCTTTGAAGGAAGCTTAACGTCGGCCCCCTCTTTGATCAACTTTTCAACGACTGCGATTGGGGCGAAGAGCACAGCGAAACCAAGGGCGCTGATACCAAAGTCGAACTCGAATTGGTTGATGTCAATAATGTCTGGCTCGTCCTCATCATCGAGGATGTCACCGGGCGCTGGTGATGGGGTACGTGCCGGGGCGTCATTTGCCTCATCATCCCCGTCTTCATCCTCTTTACCATCCTCATCTTCTCCATCACCATCACCATCACCATCGTCGCCGTCCTGGTCGTCACCTTCATTGCCATCGCCTTGGACATCATTATCCTTGTCTTCGTCAGCTCCTGCCATATCAACATCTTCATCATCAGAGTGAGAACTCCAGTCATCTTCAGAAGAAGGACGTTCCTCAGGTTTCTTGGTCTCAGCTTCTTTACTTTTCTCCTCTTCTTTGGGCTCGGGGTTGTTCACCTTATCCTCAGCCACATTCACTGCGTTCTTCAGAAACAGCTTGTTGGTTACAGCGAGGTTTCCATATTGTGCAGCCAGGTGGAGTGGCGTCCTTCCATCAACTAGCCGAGCCGTTATTCTAGCACCAGCCTGGATGAGATCGCAGGCGATGTCGGAAGAGCCTGTGATGATAGCAAAGTGCAAAGACGATCGGCCAACGTGGTCGCGTTGTTGAAGATCAATGTCTTCCGCTGAAAGGAGTTTTTGTACTCCAGAGCGATCTTGTTGAGCAATAGCAGCGAAGAGTTTCTGGGTCGGCTTGAGGTACACTTGCTCGGACCACTCTCCGTCATCGATAGGATGGAAACTACCAGAGATAGTTTGACGCCCCGGATTTTCCTCGATAAATCTAGAGAATGTCACAAAATATTAGGAGGTATGTAGCACTTTCAACTCACTTGATTCTACCACGAATGTATTGCTCATCTTCAGCCTCTTGGAGTTTTCGTTCGTCATCATCAATTGGCTCAGGGCACATCTGTACAGGACGTCACTCTGAAAGTCCCTCTCAAGTTCGTAAGAGAATCTGACCTCACAAC